TGTGTGTGTGTTGTGTGTGTGTGTGTGTGTGTGTGTGTGTGTGTGTGTGTGTGTGTGTGTGTGTGTGTGTGAAAAGTCACATCTTCTCCACTCTTTAGTTCACATTGAGATCAAATTTTCTTGTAAAAAAAAGTAAAAAAAGTCCTCCTCAACAGTAGAGGCATTAAAGCCCCCAACCCTCCACACAAAAAGTGAAGGCCAAAAAAACTGAAACACTCTCTATGTCTTTCAATTAAACCGGGAAAACTTCTTTTAGTGTAAAAACTTGTGTAAAATAGAAATATCACATAAATAACTATTGATGTCACTGACTCCTGAAATGTTTCTCTTGCAAAACTTCCTGAGTCACAGAAAAACAGTCCTTCTGAAACAGTGTTTCAGTTTTTTTGGCCTTCACTTTTTGTGTGGGCGGAGTTGGAGGGTTGGGGGGCTTTAATGCCTCTACTGAGAGAAAGAAATCAAACAGGGAAAAAGTATGAAGTTTTTTTTACTTTTTTTTTACTTTTTTTTTTACTACAAGAAAATTTGATCTCAATGTGAACTAAAGAGTGGAGAAGTATTCCATTTGTATTTCTCAATAGTTATTTTACAGTAAAAACAATGATGTCACTGACTCCTGAAATGTTTCTCTTGCAAAACTTCCTGAGTCACAGAAAAACAGTCCTGCCTCGGTCACCATCCCAGGAATGCGCACACACACACACACACACACCTTTTTAACTGTCTGAGATCTGAAAACTCCCAGTCGGAGCCTACAGTTGGATGGGGTGTAGATGGAGGTGGGGCTGAGTGGGTTGCAGAACTGCTGCAGGTCAGAGCTGGTGATGAAAGAGCAGAGAGGGAGACAGACTGGGAGTCTTGCAGCCTAATTAGACCACTAATTGGAAGGAGGTGTTGGCAGGTAATTGTGGATAATGACACGCGAAATCTGCCATAAAATCATAAAACCAGAAATATGTCCATAATAATATTTGATCACTGGTATATGTTGAGTTAAATTTGGGACAGACTGTAATCGTTTTTGTATACTACAATTTGGCCCTCTGGCAGTGACCGTTGAAGTGAAGTTGCCCGTCCCTGGTCTAGTGTGTGCGTTCAGATGATTATAACGTACAAAATTGGTGGACACCGCCCTTATGTCTTTGGTCTCCTCGTTTTTAAAATCAGATCTGGGATAGAGAGGAGGCACATTTGAAGAAGTTTGGTGGGTAGTCAGCCGAAATTGCTTCACCCTGATGGATATCGCAGCATTTCTTGTTCCTCCTGTTGTGACTTTGACCATTTCATAATATCAGAAACTCCCCGTCTCCTTTGTTCAGAGTGCAAGCTTACTCAACTACTAAAGACGCTTAATTTCCCCCTAACCATAACCTCTTTCCTTCTTTTCTAATGAAACATGGAAGCAACAATAAACAAATCTAAATAGATTATTACATCTTGGTTTCACTTTCACATCTGTGTGCAGTCAAACCCTCATTACATTAAGAGTGACCGCCTTACTGCTGACAGAATTAGAGCTGAGGGAGCACCTGAACTCACCACACTGGCGCCAAAAAAAACAATGCATGACATATGACATGCAACCCTAACGAAGGGGGGGGGCAGGGAGGGTTGAGGGTGTGATGTGTGATGAAATGGTTAATAGAACAGGTTGGCAGACTTGTTCGACGTGAATGTTTTAGATAGTTATGGGTTGGGCTACCTGAAGGCCAATGTTTTAAAAATCAATCCGTGCTGGCTCGTCACAGTGCTGCTGACTGTCTGCCAGCGTGCGTTCATCTGCTGACCTGAGAGAAGAAGGAAAAAGATCTGCCAAGATGACAGAGAATAAAGAATCCAGTAAGTATTTTTATTTTGAGATTTATTTTTGGGGCTTTTTATACCTTTATTGTAGATACAGGACAGTGGATAGAATCAGAAATCAGAGAGAGAGAGAGAGAAAGAGAGAGAGAGGGGAGTGATATCCTGGAGAGGAGCCACAGGTGAAATCTGAAACCGGGCTATACCGACTTTGAGAACTACAGCCTCTGTACATGGGTTGTGCGCACTTACCACTAGGCTATCTGCGTCCCAACAGAGCTTTTCTAAATATCCATTGAGTGACTTCATCATCATATCTTTCTCTGCCTGAGTCCTTCAAACCTGCATCCTGCCGTGTGCATATAGGAACAGCTTTTTGGAAACTATTTAAAGAAGCAAAGTGTTGCAGGCAGACAGTGAGTTCATGCTCAGATAAGTTGTAACATCACAAAAGGTACACGATGGGAGAAAAGTCCCATGGTGCTACAGCCTTCGTACATGGAGCGTGCACACTATTCACTAGGCAACTGGAAACCCCACTAACATCTGTATTTGCAGCACATTAAAGGTAATACATGTTTTTTACGCATTTCAAACAATGTCTTAAACACACTGTAGCGTAACTGAAATCGAGCAGGGGTCCAATTGGGCGCCAGACAGACCCTTAAGTCTGTCAAAAAAGTCTCAGGGTGAATAGCTCTTATTCCCACTGAAATTCAACACAAAACCACGCTATGAAATACAATTAAATCAAAGTTCATTTATAAATTAAACATAAATTCAGGACAACAGAAATATTTCATATTTAAACAAAACACCTCATATAACTAAAGTTCAAAGTCCATGATTTCAAGTTCATCAAAAAAGAAGATTTAAACTGGTCCAATGTTCTCATATTAAATATGAATATTAAAGAAAGCGAGGGGTTGAGGGTGTGTGTGTGTAGGTGTGTGAGCAGCTATTTGGACGGGGGAAAGAGAGATTGGAGACCAGAAGCAAGGGAAGTCTTGAGGTGAGGTAACACAGAGAGAGAGAGTGAGTTGATATCACCTGTCCAGGTTTTGGTTCCTGAGAGGGGTTGCAGCGTTACCACTCCAATGATAATCTCATAACTGCCCGATCATCTGAAGCTCCAGTCCATACCTCCAGAGCAAAGAAGGCAAAACAATCTGCCCACTCCAGGTTTTCATGAACGCTCCTCTCCTTGAATTGTTTGGCATCCAAGAATATTGTAAGCAGCCTGAACCCTCCTTCTCCAGTTGTCCAACACTGTACTCTGCAGCAATCCTCTGTCTCCTCTCACACACACTCTCCCTCTCAGGTGCAAACAATTATCAATTTGCCTCTCCTAGGCCACATTCCTTCCTCACAGCCCTCTGCTGTGCAGCTGGATGCAGTCTGGAACCCTGTCTGCTACAACACAGTAAAAACTCAAACTTAGCAAGTGCCGACATGTTGTTGTTGGAGTGTCTTTGTTCCCTCGTTATCTACGAGCGAGATGCACTCTCTGTCTGCAGGATGTTTGTTGCAGAGCGTGCACTTTGGGTTTGGAGAGCCGTATGAAAGCAGCTTCCTGTTGCAGACAGTAATAATGATGTGTTGGTGGGTTAAAGACGTTTTTATCGATGCTCATTTGCTGAAAACTACAGAAATTGATTGCATTCAAATGGTAAACAAAATTACCAAGATTATTATCTTGAAGAGGCTGCACGGTGCTGCACGGTGCTGCACGGTGCTGCAGCGGTTAGCGCTGTTTCCTCACAGTGAAGAGGTTCCTGGTCTGAATCCCCGTCTGACAGGAGCCTCTCTGTGTGGAGTCTGCATGTTCTTCCCGTACATGTGTGGGTTCTCTCCGGGTACTCCGGCCTCCTCCCACAGTCCAAAGACATGCTCGTTAGGTTAACTGGTGACTCTAAATTGTCCGAACTGAAAAAGTCTATTCACTATTTTATTTTAATTTTTTACATGTACTTTATTAGTCCTGCAAGGGGAAATTTGGGTTTACACTCTGTTTAATGAACATGAACACACACATAGGCCTAAATACACACACATGCACAAACAGGATCCTATAGACATGCATTAATGGAGAGGTGTCAGAGTGAGGGGGCGGCCCAGTGAGCCTCCGGTTCCAAACCCGAGTCCCTACAGACTGAAAGCAGCTATGAAACAGTACATTTTGCTCCTGTTATTTCCATTTCCATCTATATTAAAAAGGAAATAATGTTCAGAAATGGTAAAGAGGTAATAATGGTTTTGAAGTGTCTAAAAATGCAAATTCTGGTTGACGTTTTTTGTTTTGGATTTTGAAAATTTCAAAAAATCAGAGAATCGAAAAAAGACCAAGTACTTTGAGTTTTCTGTTGTATCTTTCATCACAAGAAGTACATTGAGTTACACAAGTCTGAGCTGCTGCTGCCGCCCACTGAGCTACTGCCGCCCAACACAACTAACATCATAATTGAATAGTGCAGATTAAAGGTTCAAAATGAGTCGTTATAAAGGAAAGAGAGGACAGTTACAGAAATCTTGACTCTACTATTTGTAACTCATCCTATCATAAGCTGAATGATCGTGCACACAGCTTGGTTTTTGAAGGTCAAGGGCGTGAGATAGCTGATTGTTTGATGCATTTTCCTCTCTGAACTGTTTGGTGTTTTTGTTTGAGCTTTAGGTCTGTGCTTGTGTGTGGTCCAGGATGAAGTGTAACTACGAGTCCTGTCATGTCTTGTCCTGCTCAAACACATGACTTAACATTTGTAGCTCATCCATCTGTGACGTTTCATGAACAGCTGAGAGTGTTTACATATTTTAACCACTCTCACCACACCCTAACCTCATTTTCCTCGTTGCCCTAGTCAGCACGATGACTCTTTACAAGCCCAGCCTGTTTTAAGAGATTGGTTACACACTGTACTGGGGGTGAATGTTTTGACTGTTTTTGACTCATCAGTTTTGATTTGATGAAGGATAAGAGTTATTCACAATAAGGCGTGTAGCTGACATGATTGACAGACGGACGCGGTGTAACGGTTTGTCAGGAAGTTTAAAACCTGCCTCAGCTCCAGCTCTCAGCCTGTCGTTAGATCGACTGAAAGTTAGACTGAGACAGTATTTCCAGCATGGAGACTGCCGCCATCAATGGGACTCCAGCGCCCCCTGCAGGAACAGACGGGTGACGTCTCTCAGGCCTCATCCATTAATCCCTCGATGGAAATAGCGTCAAAGGGGGGAGGGGACTTTCATCTGGCAAGCTTAAAAGATTATGAAGCAGCTTTATTACCTTCACGACGGTCGAACTAGCGATGGCCGATACCAAACTCTTTCAAATTGACATGATAGCGATTTTTTTGCTGTCATTTTTTATACCAAGGCAAATCATTTCTGATAATGCTTGTGTAACATTTTATGAGTATTCCTTTTTTTCAAAACCAAAACTATATAAAAAAAAAATTATAAAAAACTTTTGAAGCTTGCCATCTAGACTCATAACCTCATGTAAGGATCTTACTTGTACATATTTTTTATTTTATTTCTGATGTGTCTCTAGTCACAGTGGAGCTCCACTGTGAAACCAACAACAAAGCGCACCACACCAACGAGATCTCCGTGGACCAGCTGATTGTGAGGCGAGGTCAGTCCTTCACTCTGACACTCAAACTGACGCAGGCTTTTCAAACTGATAAGGACCAGCTCATCATCACGACAACCACAGGTTAGTCCTTCATTGAAATATTTAATCAGATTTTTTTGTGTGGGTTCTCTCCGACATGCTCGTTAGGTTAACTGGTGACTCTAAATTGCCCGTTGGTGTGATTGTTAGGACAGCTAACAAGACAGGAAATGTCTGGAGGAGAGAGTGGGGGATGACATGCAGCAAAGGGCAGAGGTCAGATTCAAACCCACAGCTGCTGCAGCGAGGACTATAGCCTCTGTACTTGAGGCGTGCGACACTACCTGTGCTCCGTAACTTGCTCTCTTTTTTCCAAAAACTAGATGTTGGTCCGGGGTGCATGTCATTAGACAGAAATGAATAAAGTCTGCAAGTTAGATAGATGCATATGGAGTACGTAGTAACTTAAAATATCAAGGGTTAATATTTGGGGTAGCTTAATCAAGATGGGATTAGGATGACCGTTTATAGGATATCGTTTCGCTCAGTGGTAGCATTTCTTGACAGGCAGCACATCTCGTCTTCTCCAAATATGGTCAATCGTGGCTCCAATAATCAAGATGGTGACGGCCATATTGACACACCTGTGGCTTCAAAACAGTAGTCCAAAGACCAGAGGGTGATGTCAAGATGGCTGCATCCATTTCTTATACAGTCTTTAAGGTGTAATTATATTGCAATTTCCAATAAAATCCTCATTTCTAAACAAGTGTAAAGGAAAATATGTTCATCGTAGCAGGATTGTTCCGTTATGTTCCAGCAAAGGATGAATAAATTTGATGGACGTCCATCTCTGTCCTCAGGGATTATCCCAGTGAGGAGCGGGGGACGACTTGCCTCCTCTCTATCCCAGACGGCGTGAAGCGTTCACCAAAAGCAATAGCGGTGTGGAAGATTGAGCTTGATAAGAAATCCTCCCCGAGGACGGGTGTCCTGGTCCTGACCGTCACCCCCCCAGCTGACGCCCCTGTAGGAAAGTACAAGATGGTTGGGACTTATAAAGGAGAGGAAATGCTGCTGGCATCGCTGACGATGCTCTTCAATCCTTGGTGTCGCGGTATGTCCGTCTAAACCTTATCTACCTGATAAAATATCATATGCCTAGCTCTCTGTTTTGTCCCATCGTCCTACCTGTCCTCTTTAAGTGTGTGTGTGAGCAAGGGCGATTTTAGGTTTCTAACTTCACAGCTGCTCAGCTCTTAAAGAGATTGTGACATGCTGTTCTGTTTGAGTGTTTTATACGTCTGCTAAAACACTCATTTGCCTGTCTGTCTGTCTGTCTGTCTGCCTGTCTGCCTGCCTGTCTGCCTACCTGTCTGCCTGTCTGCCTGCCTGCCTGCCTGCTTGCCTGCCTGTCTGTCTGTCTGCCTGTCTGTCTGCCTGCCTGCCTGCTGTCTGTCTGTCTGCCTGCCTGTCTGCTGGTCTGTCTGTCTGTCTGTCTGTCTGTCTGTCTGTCTGTCTGTCTGTCTGCCTGCCTGTCTGTCTGTCTGTCTGTGCTGTCTGTCTGTCTGTCTGTCTGTCTGCCTGCCTGTCTGTCTGTCTGTCTGCCTGCCTGTCTGTCTGCCTGGCCTCTGAACATCTGTCTGTCCATCTTTCTCTCTCTCTCTCTCTCTCTGATCTCATCTCTGTAGAGGACTGGGTGTTTCTGGATGATGAAAAGCAGAGACAGGAGTACGTGATGAATGAAAATGGAATAATATTCCGCGGAAGCAATGACTACATTATGACTTATCTCTGGGACTATGGACAGGTACTCTCCCTCTCTCTGTCTCTCTCTCTTACACACACACACACACACACACACACACACACACACACACACACCTACCACCGACCTGCTTGGATTAACTTAAATTCTGTCTCCTCTTCAGTTCGAGGCGAACATGGTGGACATTTGTATGAATTTGTTGGACCTCAACCACAAACACGAGGACGACCCCGCTGATGACATTTCAGCTCGCTGTAACCCCATCTACGTTGGCCGCGTGATCAGCGCCATGGTAGGACACACTCTGTTTCTATAGCTCCAAATGTTGATGTTTGAAAATGTTAACTTTGAGCCACTTTGTTTATAGTAAAAGCTGGATTTTCCACTCGGGTGTTCGTTTCAATTAAGCGCGCTTAGAAAGCTAACACAGCAAATTAAGATTGTGATCGATGTCAACATTATACCTGCTTCACAGTAAGAATATTAAGTACATATTTTACACATTATTCGTCCAACTTTTCTTCTCTACAGAAGAAGTACTGATATTTTCTGGCTTTTTAAGTTTTATTCTTTTCTACAAATTGAAAATAAGGACTGATATGATTATCATTCTGCAATAAAACACACACACACACTTCTGTTCAGACTTCTTTGTCCATTTTTTTTCTTGCAGATCAACAGTGAGGATGACTACGGTGTTTTGGAGGGAAATTGGGGGAGTTCTTATGAGGGCGGACATTCACCCAGTCACTGGACCGGTAGCAGTGCCATCCTTACAAAGTGGCTCGAAAACCAGTTTCAACCAGTCAAATATGGGCAGTGCTGGGTGTTTGCCGGAGTGATGTGTACAGGTAACATCAGGCTTCTCACACCTGGAATAACATCTGTAGAGATCAATCAATGTATCTGTATATCGCCAAGTCGCAGCAAATGTTATCTCAGCACACTCTAAGAAAAAAGCAGTCGACCGAACACTTGGCAACAACAGCAGCAGAACTGATTCATCGTGTTTTCACACAAAACCCCTAAAGGCTTAATATGGATTTTTCACAATTGAATGTAATAGAACTCGGAAAACTCGGAAAGCATCACAAACAATGGGACTCGGGTGTTACACCCATTGTAGACAGTCATGACTCAGAGAGTTATTTTCAGAGGATATACTTGATTTCTATCTTCACTTTGTTTACATCGCCAGGAAGGCCGACCGGCTCATCCCCTCGCGTATATAAATTGTTTAATTGAGGGACTAGAGAAAAGAAGAATAACATACTGTACTCACTGCTTAATTGAATGTCATGTAAGCGTTTCTAGATCACGGTCATTGCGTGTAAATTTACATGCAGTGTGAAGCTACGAGCAAACTAAAGCGCGCTAGCATTAGCATGCTAACACAACAATGCAGCACGAGTTGTTTTGGTTTCATGCTGGAGCTCAAAGGCGACATCTAGTGGATCAAAAAGTTGCATATTCTTCCATTAATGAGCATTATGTAATGTGCCTTATGAATGGGGGACTTTACAACTCAGGCAGTTTTCATCTTTTTCTGTCTCAAAGTTTTTCCAAAAGTGAGACTGGAAGTGAACCAAAATGAGAAAGAAGAGTAAAACTGGTGCCACATTTCTCTGCCAACCCTAGCTTTAATTGTTGCCTATCAGAGCTGCAGAATGTTGGAAAACACTTTTATGACTTTATGTGAAAATATCTCAAGTCCTTCTATCTGGTTCTCAGTGATGCGGTTTTTCGGAATCCCCTGCCGCGTGGTCACCAACTTCTCTTCAGCTCACGACAACAACGCCAATCTCATCATCGATAGATACCATTCTAAACATGGACTGTTGGAAAACAAAACCAAGGACAGTATTTGGTGAGAACACACACACAGATGTTAACATTATACACCATGTTTTATCCAATGCACTCTGCAATTCTCTCTCCTGTGAAAAATGGACATACATTTTTAGTACAATAGTTGTCCTGGATAAATCCCAACAAAATAGGCCTACAAACACTAGCGTATGAAACTTTTCAAGATGTGTTGTATCATGGGCAGCTGTGGCTCAGTCGCTAGAGTTGGTCGTCTCTCAACCAGAAGGTCAGGGGTTGGATCCCCAGCTCTGATAAGTCCTTATAGGCAAGATACTTAACCCCAAGTTGCTTCCACTGCTTCGTCAGACTGTGTGTTAATGTGTATGAATGGGATTAGTTTCTTCTGATGGTCACTTTACTCAGCAGCCTCTACCATCAGTGTGTGAATGTGTAGGTGTGACCTGCGGTGAAAAAGCGCTTTGAGTAGTCAGCAGACTAGAAAATAAATATACTCAAGTGCATTTATCATTCTATCATAAGTTCTTTGGTGCCTTCCCAAGGGCGTCCAGGACCCCAGGTTTGAAGTCAGTGCTCCAAAAGAAGCATGAAAAGAGTTCATTTGATTCATTTTTGATTATAATTTATACTCATTACTGAAACTTATAGTCATGCAAGGAATACATTCATTGTGTGAGCTTGCTTTGTCCAACGAATAATCAGCTCAGTGGTGCCAGGTCTCAGTTTGGCATGAAGATTTGTTCACACCACACCTTCATCAAACAAAACTAAATATACCTGAGCAGTCTGCCAGATCCAGACAGGGGTTAAATCGTATCAGTTTTTGTAGGTTGGATCTTCTTGTTGGTGTATCAGTACTTGCTAACCAAACCCATCAAAACAGAAATACCACTCATGTTTGGTAAGGGGCCAAACTAAGAGGTTTGGATGTTAAGTTTCAGTTGGATTTGTGTGGCCTTCAGCTTTTTTTCTTCCAATAAAGAGTCACAGTGTTTTCTGATGTGGTGAAGAGTTTTATTGATGTGCTGAAAGTTATTTTTGAGACTGAATGAAACATGTAGGTAGCTGATAGAGAGGTGCCTCAAGGATTGCACAATTTCCAATGTCCAGTTGGGGGAGAGTCCCCCCAATAGAATAGAAGAATAAAGTCAATGTAGGACAACCAAAAAAGCTTTTGGTAGGACAACCAAAGGCTTATGATTTTAAAATGCTCAACACTGCAATTATGGTCTAATTTAGAATACGAGCATCCAAAAAGTTGAGTACTGTGTGCTGGACAAAAAACATACTCAAAGACACAGGAAGATAAATGCATGTGTGTCTGATGCGTGCTCCTCTCCCAAATCTCCCTCTTGTCAAAATGTGGTCCAAAAGAAACAAACATGTCATCAGCAAAACTGTCAAAATCCACTTCAAAGCCATCCTCCATATTGGTAATTAAACTTGCATCATGGGAAATTGTGGCACTTAATCACGCCAGTCTGTTAAAACCTACCCAGAGAGTTGATGTCGCAAATAATAACCTCAGTTTGGCAGTGTGTTGTTTCCAAACCAAGATCTGGATGGGAACAGTGCTTTGCAGTGTCAGTGTCAGAAGGATTACACAGTATCGTAGGGTAATCTATGTGTCCAGAGTTGTTTAGTCTTTTAAACTGTTGCACAGTCTGAATGTGGTGTTGTGTTACAGGAACTTCCACGTGTGGCTGGAGGGGTGGATGAGGCGGCCAGATATATCAGACAACGGTAAATACGACGGCTGGCAGGTTCTGGATCCGACACCGCAGGAGCTGAGCCAGGGTACGGACTCTGTTATGAATCTCCATAAACCTTTTCCTCCCCACTCTTATGTACTAATTTATTTTCATTATTTTACATTGTGGCCTTTTTTTTTATTTTAGATTCAGTGAAAATAAATGATTCCAATGACATAATAAAAGGGATTTTTAGAAGAATTGAAAATACAACTTCACACCTCCTGGAAGTCTTTGTTGATGAATATTGTTTCTATTCATATAATAACCTCATTACTTATATATAACCTGATTACAATCCACTGATGGATTAATGATAGCAATGGGGTAATGACTTTGAGGTGGAGTCAAAAAAACAATTGCTCACCGAGGTGGAATAATCCATGACAGAATTTAAGTCTCTCTCTCTCTCTCTCTCTCTCTCTCTCGCTCTCTCTCTCTCTCTCTCTCTCCTGTAGGTGTTTACTGCTGCGGTCCTTCCCCAAAAGCAGCCATCCTGAAAGGACACACAGGCATCAAATACGATACTCCGTTTGTCTTTGCTGAGGTCAACTCTGACGCTGTCGATTGGCTGGTCAGTGAGCAGAGCTTGAACCTAACACCATTCAAATAACATTTAGCAATACTACAGCCTTTACAGGACAGATATAGAGCAATAAAAAAAGACAACTGTTTAAAAGAGAAGCACATAAGAAGGTCAGACAGTCAAAATCATTCATGATCAAATAGTCCACTGCTGGATTTGTTAAATGAATTTTTGTCTTCCTCGTTTCTATTGTCTGTGTTTGTATGTCCTATCAGGTCAGACGTAACGGTTCACTGGAGAAAATAGAGTGTGTCACTGACTTAGTGGGTCAAAATATCTCAACAAAAGCTGTGGATAGTAATGCAAGGGTCGACATCACCAAAACCTATAAACCTGAGGAGGGTGGGTTCATGAGAAAAGCACATCACACAAGCTCAAGCTGGATGTTGGGTCCAAAACAATGATTAAATTACTTCCCTTACAGGAACAAGAAAAGAAAGGGTCGTCTTCAGAAGAGCCATCATCAATCACTTCAAGCACCTTAATAAGATTAGAGAGGAGAAGAAGAGGGAGAAGGAGCGGATGGAGACGAGGGAGACAGAGACGGAGACGGAAACGGAGACGGAGACGGAGACGGAGACGAGCGAGACAGAGAATGTGTCCACAGCAGAGACAGACAGGGAAACAACTGAAGTCATCCTCCCACCGCCAAAAATGTCCATACGATTTGAAGAGGTACGTCATAAAAAACGACATTCCCCAGTGTTTCCATTTAGAGCTACTGACGTGGATTATGCTAATCAACCAAATCAAAGAATAGAGGATACCAGCGTGATAGTAATGAATGTTAGTTCATTAGCTTAATGCTAACACATACAGGAAAATGTAATTATCTGGCTAACAGCAATAGCATTCGTACTTACAACCATATGTTTCTTAAACCCTGTGGAGACAAACTGAAAATAAATGCTGGCTTATAAAGAGTCAGTGAAGAAGAGTTGTGTAGTTACTGGCTCTTTATAGGTCTCAGTTCATGGGATGAATCTCTCTGCAAACATATCAAACTGCACCAACATCCAAAAAGTTGAGTACTGTGTGCTGGACAAAAAACATACCCAAAGACACAGGAAGATGAATGCATGCATGTCTGATGAAAGGCGAGGGCCAGAAACCTTACAATGTTAAATGGAGCAGCTTCTGGTGTGCAGACTTAGTCTTTCTCTGTCTCTGGTCCTCTGCTGCCAACTCCTGGGTGGTGGTGTGTGATGTGTTCAGGGTCGCATATACCCTGCTCCCCTCCAAGCTCCTATCTTATGTATTGAAGAGGTGCAAATGTGAAACTTATAAAGAGAGTCAAAGGAGGCCCGGCATCCTGGAGTCTGGCACCCGGCTATGTCACCAGTCAGTAACTTTATTGCAAATTTTACATTTAACTCAATAACAACATCATATTGACTTTGCCCTTTTGGTATGAGCGGTGGTGTAACTAATTCATGGTTATAACGCACACCCTAACATGGAATGCATTTTTGCAAGAACATACATTTTATTTTTTTATTTTTACAAGATGAAACCTTTTCAACCTTCATAGGAAGTGTCATGGTGGCTTGTATGTTGGGAAAACAAAATGATTTGACATTAACAAATGCCTCTTTAAAAGGTCACGAGCTCAGAGCATTGTAAGAAAAACCTGAACCTCAAGGGTGGTTGAATTCATTTTTTGAGAGTGTAAATCTAACTTTATTTGAATTTTTGGAGCTATAACCAGCTGCAATGCCATGATTTGCTAAATGCTGGTAAATGTTGGGACCCAGGAGTAAAACCCTGACAAGGCAGGTGAACACTGGTCATGCAAGATCATTCATAAAACAACCTCCCAAACTGGGGAGGATGAGCCGTTGTGAAGTTGTGAGAAATTGGCAGCTTGCAGGAAACACAGGTAAACTGATAAGCTGCTTCTAATTGGGTCAGATGCTCTGCAGCTGTGCCAGCAGGGCAGGGCGCCTCAGACCACACCTCCAGTATCTGCTCCAAGGAAAACAAAAAACACAACACAAGGTCACAAAGCAAAACTGTGCACTGATAACAAGGACAAAAAATAAACACTAAAGTACAAACGATGAAACGCGATCCATTCTTAGTGAATCAGGTTGGACAAAAAAAGAGGAACAAGGAATACACACACATAATCACAAAATCAACACACCAACAGAGAAAATAAGTTGATATGTATTCTCACACTAACAGTGTTTACTCATGGTGCCGGTTCTAAGAAAAAGATCGGATTGGCTGAGTAGTGTGACATATGTAGAGGCAAAAAAAGCTGCGCCATTTAACTAGACTACCGTTAAAGCAGCAAAGGCTGCACTGTTAAAATAGAAGTGCACATCAAATAAGTCTGGGTCTGGGCAGCGCGGCATCTTGGTCCGGATTCGTACCGGGGTATGCCATTTGTTGACCTTTGGTGTAATTCATGAAATGGTATGGTATCGCTGGTTAGGGTGAGATAAGAAAATGTAGATCTTAAATCGTCCCAATTTTCTACGAACTGTATGACACTATGCATTTGAAATTTCTCTCACAAACTTTGGTTTATAAGGAAATGTTCCTTACAGTTCTGGGTCATAATGAATGGGCGTTGTGGGATATGTGACTCAAATAAAACCTTCTTTGCCTCAAATTTCTCTTTGTTTTAGGTGTCAAAGCCGATTAACGGTAAGGATGTGTGCCAGAAATTGGTGCTGAGCAGTGAAAGTACTGCTGACAGGCCGCTGATCATCAACATCGCCGTTCAAGCCATGAACTACACCGGACACCTAGCTGGAAACATTCAGGATGAGGAGTGGGAAAAGACACTGCTGCCAGGAAAAGGTGAATCTTCTTTTGCGGACAGGCCAGAGATTTTGATGAGAAAGGAAGAAAGTGAAAGACTGGGATCTTAAATCGTTAACAAAAGCCAGTAAAGTACAGCATATACTGTATGTTTTTTCTGTGGATTTTGGTCTGACGTCTTACATTATTTTCTCTCTTGTAGCTCTGACAATGCCGATCGTGGTCCCGTTCTCAGTCTACTCTAAGCCCATGTTAGAGTGTGACATCATGAAGATCTCAGTCCTGGTTAAAGACAAAGAGAAGCCAGACCACCCATACCTGGGAGAGGTCGACGTTGTGCTGCTTGACCCACCGATCTCCGTCACTGTTAGTAGAAAACATTTTTCTTTCTCTATCATCACCTGCCATCGACCTTTGTCCAGCTGTCTGTCACATCATTTACCAGCTGTGATAATAACCTGATCAGTCTAATATTAACGTTATTGTAATGATGATGTAATTGGGATAGAATAGATGCAAGGTTGATATTAAAAGTTGCATATCTTAGATTCACTTTTGATTTAATGATGTCGACTGTAGGTACCACAAGCAGGCCTGATAACTGAAAGTTCTACCTCCCATAGTACATTTAGAGACTGTAGGTACTCTTTTCGGGGAGCATCATGGTCTGGAGGGGTAATATGGCACTATTAGCTCTTTAACATACGATGGTGCCTGCCCATTCAGAGCTTTGTATGTTTGAAAAAGGACTCAGTTCCAGATTTTCTGTAGTCTTACTAGAGCAGCCTGATAAAAGAGAAATACAATAATCCAACCTGGTGGTAAAAAAAGCGATGGACTAGTTATAATTAAATAAAGATGACCAATTACCAACAGAAGCGTCCATAACAATTCCTGTATATAATCAGATTTCAGATTGATGTTTTGATAACAATGTCAGTTTTGCCTGAAAGCTACAAGCTGTCCTCATTGGTGATTTTTTGAGTCTACTGTGGGTTGTTGTGCAAGGAAAGTGTGCTCATTCTTGTTAGAGCTGCTGCAGGCTTTTTTCACACAAACAAGAATTAAAGAAGCATTTAACCTGCCAGAAAAGTCATGCCCTTTAGCTTAAAGTAAAAAAAAACAAATGCAGTATGTTGTGAAACAAACTGAAACTTACACTATGACCTTCTAAAGCGAACCGGTTGACGACGCCTATAAAAATGCCATTGTTTACATTCAGGTCGAAGTTTAGAGATGGATGAGTCTATAAAACCCAAGACAACTTTACTGAGTTTAATTGAACAATCAACTACATTTTTTTGTGTTTCAGATTTTTGGTAACGTCAAACTGAACACTCTTGCAAGCGCAGAAATCACTTTCATGAACCCTGTGAACGAGACGCTGAAGAACTGCACTTTCACCATCTCTGGAACCGGCCTCTGGAAAGGAGAGACGGAAGTCAAGTGAGTTTATCGGCATGCACTGATGTGCAACATAGCATTTGGAAAACATGAAAGCCATACAAGGTTTGAGGCTGACGATACTAAAAATGTAAATATTAACAATTGATTCATCTGTAGGCCAGTTCCTGGAGGCTTTTTAATTCAACATATAATAAAAAATGGTTATCTCGCATGGAGCAACCAAGCACACACTCTTTGGATTTTCACTTAAGCGAATTGACTGAAGAAGGAATCACAAAAATAGATTTTCTTTGCGCCCTTTCACCTCGATCGTTTTGGATTCAGGAAGTCAGGGAAGCTAAACGCTGCCGCTCTAGTGTAAAATTTTACATGTAGCACAGATTGTTAGCTTGATTTGTACCTGCACATGACACCCTCAGTTAGACATCTCCTGTTTTCTCTATTTTCACGCTCAGATTTAGAGACCTTAAACCAAGCAGACAGGTACGTCTCAAGTTCTACATCGTCCCTTACAAGTCTGGAGAGAGGACCCTGACTGCTGACTTCGACTGCTCACTCTTCAGAGACATCAAAGGCCTGTGCACCGTCACCGTCAAACCCTAAATCCTCGGGCTGACTCGGAAACAAGACAACTCATTTATTCAACTAATTTTTGGGGTTCAATATGTTTGGTCTAGTACATTTTTGTCTTTTGGGCACACAAATTAATGAGGTGTTCTCGGATAAGAGAGCATCACACCATCCTCCTTGAACCTGACTTGTCCAGTGGTTCAGTCCAAGTAATGAGTTCTCAGGGATTTTCTAAAGAGAGGTGTGAACGACCTCAGAAAAAAATAAATGAAGATACATTTTCCTTTTGTAAATTAAAGATCAGGGGAAAGAAATAATTGTCCAGTATAATCTTGAATGAATTAATGAAACTTTTAATACCCCTATAGGAGAATTTGACTCGCACTGAGAAGCATAAATACACAATAAAGGCAACAAAAGATGTTGAGGGGGGGCAGTAGCTCAGTCTTGAGCAAGGCACCAAACCCCCATTAGCTCTGGTGCGATCCCTGTGTGGCAGCCTCACTCTGACATCTCTCCACTAATGCATGTCCACAAGTCCTGTTTGTACATGTGTCTATTTTGGGCCTACATGTGTGAGAAGCATCTCTCAATAACAGAAAATCAGAATATCCCTCAGGGATAAATAAAGTATGTCAAATTAAATTGAATTAAATACAGGACAGCACACAAAAACAAAACCATGAAAAAGATTCACATGATTACATATAAGAGATTTCAACTTCAACAACTTCAGTAAAATGCAGAGTGCAGAGTTCATCCTGTACGATCAGAGATTATTAAGCAGCTGAGTGCTGAGTGGTACACAGATGTGACTCCTCTGTTAGTCCTCATCCTGGGCATTCTGTACCTGCGTCCTGAAGTCAAGAGTTCATACTCAGACCAAAAGGGGGTACAGAGAGTCCGCTGTTGGCTAAACTCAGGGTGTACCAGTCTGTCAGGTTAGCAATGCTGCAGTGATCTTGCTGCCTAATAGACTGAAACACTTATAAAGCAAAAACTAACAACCAAACACAGAGCCCTCTTGTGTGTGTGCCACATCTTCTGGGTTTATATTGAAAGCAGCAAAGATAACGCCTGAATGTTACAAAATAGTTGGATTTTAAGTGTTTATTTACATAAAAAGTAAAGTACAGACATTATAATTCACTCCCTGAAAATTGTTCCTAACTGACTCAGGAAAACTCTGTCATTAAAGCCTGTTTACACTGCTAATAAAACAATAAATAATAATAATAAGACACAGCAGTATTGCAGCCTGCAAGATACAGTATGCATGGCGGCAGTATAGAGGACTCTTCAGGTACCAACTCCTGTCAGAAAGTCATGTCTGTAGGTGAAGATTACCTAACACAGACCATGTCGACAATGTTTCTATATTTAGAAGTCCTCAGTCCTGCTGAGCCGGTGTAAACGTGAGCCCTTGTGGCTAAAAAAAAAAAAGGAATAACAGGCCTAACAGCTTGCAGGCTTGACTTTGGTAATTTGCATGTTTTTGTTGAACTTGTTGAACCGTGTGCACGAATAAAATGTTTGTGAAAAATCCATGTTCCATTTGTGTCTTTGAGTTTTGTGTAATCACACCCAGAGAAAAACTGATTTCCAACCAAATACAAGGCTACAAATGTAAAGCTGAGATGGTGCAGGAAAATACTCCTACAACACAATATTATGTCTGACTCAGAATAATCTGTATTTGTGATGGTTGGTCATGTGACCATATCCAGCACAACTTCACCAACTAACAAGGTGCATGAAGGGTGACAGAAGAGGTCAAAAAGCTCCAGCAACACTTGTACTATGAAGATCCACTTTATTAACAAATTAGAGTGACGTGTTTCGGCTTGTGGCCTTCATCATGAAACACATTGCACACAACATTTAAATAGAGGAGGTAAGAAACTGAGGATCATGTAAAAATAAATCCAAAAATACCCAAATACATCCACATAGATATCAGCCAATGAGGAACCTGCAAAGGTGGGCGGGTTAGGCTTGTTGGCCAGATTTAGAAGCTTGTAGAAACGGGTGAATTTATTAATTTATTTTATTTTATTTCACCTTTATTTAAGCAGGTCAGTCGCATTGAGATTAAGAACCTCTTTCTTTAAAAGGAGATCTGGCCGAAACAGCCAGCAGCAACAACACAAAGAGACACAAAGTTCAATTTACAAAAATGGAAACATGCATTAAAAGAGAACTGTCTATGAGTCCGAAACATAACTTTCTGGAAGGTCAGCTGTACAGCCAGGCAGGCTGAAATCATTGACATCCTGTAGAATCTGCTTCCAAGTCTTTCATTTTAGATTTATAAACATGGAAAGGACACCAGCTCCTTGAGTGGTATCGGTGCATCTCTAATTTTTTCCATCATTTTTTTCCAGGTATCCTGAGTTCTTGCAGCCATTTGCAGCCATTTGACTCATTCTTTTGCAGGTGTTTCGAATTCTCCGGGTAAATCACAATGAGACATTGAAACAGAAGATGAAGATAGGATGGGTTATTTGCTACCTTCTAGTGGAGCAGTCAAGTATTGGGAATTTTGAGGAATCATTGTTACATGCTCCCAAACCAAGGATTGAATTGAAGTATTGAGTTTCTCCGGCTATGGAAAAGGAGAAAACTATACCCGTGCAATGGATGAATACTTACCGCCCAAAAGAGTTCTAGTTCTTGACCTGTTTTGTTTTTTTCGTCCCTCTGGCCCATGACCCTATGTTTCATATGCAGGAATTTTGTCAATTTTGTGTTTAGTATTTAGAGTGCATGGCGCGGACGAATCCTGTTGAATCTGCCCGTTATGTCGTTCACAACGGGAAGTGGCCAAGCGGCAAGCCGATGATGAAGTACAAAATCCTGCAGTTCCTCGAGTGTCCACTAGAGGCTGGCTGCAGAAGCACAGGAAGTCACATACACACCCATTCTAAAAAGCCTGTTTTTACAGCAGAGATTAACATGTTTACAGCCTGGTTCAAAAAAAGAACAAATAGGTCTGATTAGCTCATGTCTCGATCGACACACACTGTACGGGGGGGGGGGGTGAATGTTTTGATTTGATGAAGGATAAGAGTTATTCACAATAAGGCGTGTAGCTGACCTGATTGACAGGCGGACGCGGTGTAACAGTTTGTCAGGAGGCTTAAAACCTGCCTCAGCTCCAGCTCTCAGCCTGTTGTTAGATCTACTGAAAGTTAGACTGAGACAGCATTTCCGGTTGACGTCTCTCAGGCCTCGTCCATTAATCCCTCAATGGAAATAGCGTCAAAGGGGGAGGGGATTTTCAACTAGCAAGCTTAAAAGATTATGAAGCAGCTTTATTACTTTCATGACGGTTGAACTAGCGATGGCCGATACCAAACTTTTTTATACCAAGGCAAATCATTTCTGATAATGCTTGTGTAACATTTTTTGAGTATTCCTTTTTTTCAAAACCAAAACTATATAAAAAAAAAATAATAAAAAACTTTTGAAGCTTGCCATCTAGACTCATAACCTCATGTAAGGATCTTACTTGTACATATTTTTTATTTTATTTCTGATGTGTCTCTAGAAACAGGAGTGGAGCTCCACTGTGAAGCCAACAACAAAGCGCACCACACCAACGAGATCTCCGTGGACAGCTGATTGTGAGGCGAGGTCAGTCCTTCACTCTGACATTCAAACTGACGCAGGCTTTTCAAACTGATGAGGACCAGCTCTTCATCACGACAACCACAGGTTAGTCCTTCATTGAAATATTTTATCTGATTTTTTTTTAGACCAAAAGGAAAATCAATGCTTACATTTAATACCAACAAATAGTAATAAAATATTTGAATAGCCGGGCATCTGTTTTGTAGATTTTACAGGGTAGGAACTGTTCTTAACTTGGCTCCATGGGGTTGCAGTGGTTAGCGCTGTCACCTCAGGTTCCTGGTTTTCTGGAGTCTCTCTCTGTGGAGTTTGCATGTTCTCCTCGTGCATGTGTGGGTTTTCTCCGGGTACTACGGCTTCCTCCCGAAGTCCAAAGACATGCTTGTTAGGTTAACTGCTGACTCTAAATTGCCCGTTGGTGTGATTGTTAGGACAGCTAACAAGACAGGAAATGTCTGGAGGAGAGAGTGGGGGATGACATGCAGCAAAGGGCAGAGGTCAGATTCAAACCCACAGCTGCTGCAACGAGGACTATAGCCTCTGTACTTGAGGCGTGCAACACTACCTGTGCTCCGTAACTTGCTCTCTTTTTTACAAAAACTAGATGTTGGTCCGGGGTGCATGTCATTAGACAGAAATGAATGAAGTCTGCAAGTTAGATAGATGCATATGGAGTACGTAGTAATTTAAGATATCAAGGGTTAATATTTGGGGTAGCTTAATCAAGATGGGATTAGGATGACCTCTGATATCGTTTCGCTCAGTGGTAGCATTTCTTGACAGGCAGCACATCTCGTCTTCTCCAAATACGGTCAATCGTGGCTCCCAATAATTAAGATTGTGACGGCCATATTGACACACCTGTGGCTTCAAAACAGTAGTCCAAAGACCAGAGGGTGATGTCAAGATGGCTGCATCCATTTCTTATACAGTCTTTGCAATTTCCAATAAAATCCTCATTTCTAAACAAGGGTAAAGGAAAATATGTTCCAGCAAAGGATGAATGAATTTGATGGACGTCCATCTCTGCCCTCAGGGGATCATCCCAGTGAGGACGGGGGACGACTTGGCGATATACAAACACGAGGACGACCCCGCTGATGACGTTTCAGCTCGCTGTAACCCCATCTACGTTGGCCGCGTGATCAGCGCCATGGTAGGACACACTCTGTTTCTATAGCTCCAAATGTTGATGTTTGAAAATGTTAACTTTGAGCCACTTTGTTTAAAGTAAAAGCTGGATTTTCCACTCGGGTGTTCGTTTCAATTAAGCGCGCTTAGAAAGCTAACACAGCAAATTAAGATTGTGATCGATGTCAACATTATACTGCTTCACAGTAAGAATATTAAGTACATATTTTACACATTATTTGTCCAACTTTTCTCTCTACAGAAGAAGTACTGATATTTTCTGGCTTTTAAGTTTTATTCTTTTCCACAAATTGAAAATAAGGACTGATATGATTATCATTCTGCAATAAAACACACACACACACTTCTGTTCAGACTTCCTTGTCCATTTTTTTTCTTGCAGATCAACAGTGAGGATGACTACGGTGTTTTGGAGGGAAATTGGGGGAGTTCTTATGAGGGCGGACATTCATCCAGTCACTGGACCAGTAGCAGTGCCATCCTTACAGAGTGGCTCGAAAACCAGTTCGAACCAGTCAAATATGGGCAGTGCTGGGTGTTTGCCGGAGTGATGTGTACAGGTAACATCAGGCTTCTCACACCTGGAATAACATCTGTAGAGATCAATCAATGTATCTGTATATCGCCAAGTCGCAGCAAATGTTATCTCAGCACACTCTAAGAAAAAAGCAGTCGACCGAACACTTGGCAACAACAGCAGCAGAACTGATTCATCGTGTTTTCACACAAAACCCCTAAAGGCTTAATATGCAATTTTTCACACTTGAATGTAATAGAAATCAAGTATATCCTCTGAAAATAAGTCTCTGAGTCATGACTGTCTACAATGGGTGTAACACCCAAGTCCCGAATGTTGGAAAACACTTTTATGACTTCATGTGTAAATATATCAAGTCCTTCTATCTGGTTCTCAGTGATGCGTTTTTTTGGAATCCCCTGCCGCGTGGTCATCAACTTCTCTTCAGCTCACGACAACAACGCCAATCTCGCCATCGATCGATACCACTCAGCAGCCTCTACCATCAGTATGTAAATGTGTAGGTGTGACCTGCGGTGAAAAAGCGCTTTAAGTAGTCAGCAGACTAGAAAATAAATATACTCAGGTCCATTTATCATTGTATCATAAGTTCTTTGGTGCCTTCCAAAGGGTGCCCAGGACCCCATGTTTGAAGTCAGTACTCCAAAAGAAGCATGAAAAGAGTTAATTTGATTCATTTTTGATTATAGTTTATATTCATTACTGAAACTTATAGTTATGCAAGGAATACATTCATTGTGTGAGCTTGCTTTGTCCAACAAATAATCAGCTCAGTGGTGCCAGGTCTCAGTTTGGAATGAAGATTTGTTGACACCACACCTTCATCAAACAAAACTAAATGTACCTGAGCAGTCTGCCAGATCCAGACAGGGGTTAAACTGTATCAGTTTTTGTAGGTTGGATCTTCCTGTTGGTGTGTCAGTACTTGCTAACCAAACCCATCGCCTTCAGCCTTTCTTCTTCCAATAAAGAGTCACAGTGTTTTCTGTTGTGGAGAAGAGTTTTATTGATGTGCTGAAAGTTTTGTTTGAGACTGTATGTGACATGTATGTAGATGATAGAGAGGTGCCTCAAGGATGCATTCTGTCCCATGTCCAGCAGGGGGAGATTCCTACCTATCTACCAAATCTACCAGATAATGA